CCCAGTTCTTGTATATATAAAATAAATTTTTTTAAAAAAATTAAAAAAAAAAATCAATCTCTGGGAATTCAGTGGCCAGAAATCACGCACCTATGGAAACAAAACAAAAGGGTTTTGTTCGTGTTGCCACACTCTCCCACTGTAAAGCACCTGTGCCCTCACAGCTGGGGAAGCTGAAATAGAGCAGACGCCATGGAGGCTCGTTTTCTTCTCCATTTTCCAGTTTTGCCGGAAGGGTCCCTGTGGGCATCCTCGTGCCAACAGTGTGAATTCTCTCCTCGCCGCTGAGCAGGCCTTCCTTCTGGCCCCTCCCCCAGCTCCCTCCTCATTTACTCAGACGATGGCCACCAACGGGACACTTCCTTTGTCTGGCTGGGATGACAGATGGCAGAGCTTCCGCGGGGACTGGCATTAATAGGACTCAGAGGAGCTGCAGGGACTGAATGGAGAGGCCATTCCTCTCTAGCCTCCGGAGACAGCACGTCACATTTGAATCCATCTTTGCACTCACCTTATAGGTGGCGGGGAAGAGGGCAGAGGAGGTCATTATAAAGCTGCTTTTAGCATTGACTTTCAGGGTAAGAACAATTGGTTGGAGCTAAATGCTCCAATGTGATATAATCACATGTATTCCCTTTGTTACTAACGTCAACATTCCCAGAAAAATGATTCTACCACACCCTCGGAAAGAGATGATTTATTTTTATAAGCCATAGCTCAGCCATAGCTTATAAAATGAAATCTCATATATACTGCAGTAAACCATCTGTCAAGGGGGGGCTCCAGATGAGCGAAACAGATGCAAGTTATTTCTGACATGCATAAATAAAATGAGCTTGAAAAACAGGATTAAAAAAATACTCAAATGCTAAATGCTTCTAAGGTGTCAATGGAAACTCATCACTGCCAGGGAAGTCTGCACATACAGGGCATTTATTTGGAAAACAGGTCCCCCCACCCCTCTTAGCTTTTTCTTTCTTGAGAACAAGGCCAGTAGGTAATGGTGGAAAATGTGGCATAGTAAATAAATAATAAGGATCCTCTCAGGCTACCTGATATTTTTTAATTAAATAAGAAGGACAAACTCTGGATGGATGAAAGGAAAAACCTTCCGTAAGAAGAGTGAAAATTTACTGAGTATGTACTCTATGGCAAACAGAGTATTAAGCGGCTTGCAGAATTAATTTATTTTTAATTTTATTTATTTTTATGTAGGAGAACTGGGGTGCAGGCCAGAGATATGGGGGTGAGAGGATTCCTCAGACACAAAGTGGGGAGCAGAACAGGTAGATCCACAGAAATCCACTGCTAAGGGGTGCAGCAGTGAGACAGAAGAGATCTGTTGTGCCCTTGTGGGTCAGCTCCCTGGCCGGAGATAGAATTCAGGATACAGCAGTGATAGTGCTGAGACTTAACCCCTAGGCCACCAAGAAGGTTCCTTGCACAATTAAATTCTCACAGTAAACTTGGGGTAAGTACTGCTACTATACCCATTTAACAGATACGAAAACTGAGTCTCTAAGAGGGGAAGGAGCTTGCCAAAGGCTATGCTACCAGACAGTAGTGGAACTGGAGCCTAAGTACTGAGTTGTTATATCTCTTTGCCTCAGCAGTCACACTGAATGTATCCAGATCAGAGAAATGGTAGCTGAGGCCAGGGTGGAGCCTTGATCCTGTTTGACCCCTTGGCCCTTGTCCAGCTTTTAAAGCAGTTTGCAGTCATTTCAGCTACACTTTTGAGAAGGGAAATTTCCAGTCTCCCTTTCATACCTTGCGTGTCTGACTCTGTGTGTATCACTGACAGATCTTTTGAACAAGCCTTCCAGATGGTGCTGGCCTACACCAAACACTGATCGACTGATGGCCATGGAGGATTTCATGCTTTAATAACCCCAGCAGTGATGCTATATTTGTTTATCAAGGAACACACTGAAGTCTCATGGCAAAAAGCAGCAGAACTTGGAGGATCTCATCAACTAAGCATTTACCTCACCCTTGGAAATTTGTGGGTTACTAACTATTGTTCATATTATGGTACAACACGTGGCAGCTTGTTTTGGTAGCTTTATCTAGGTTTTCCCAGAATCAGTTACGGTAGAAAGTCAGCTCAAAGGACCTTTTACAAATGCTACTCCAGGGCAGACTCACCAAAGTTTTAGACAATTAACAAAGTAAAGAGAGTAAAAGAACAAAAACAGGAGAGGAAAAAGTTCTGACTTTCTTCAGCATCCAAACCTGTTGCCCTTTTTCTAGAAATTCTTAGCATGATCTGGAGAGGCACATAAACATCTTGCCTTAGATTAGATTGAAATTTCTATGGTGGAATCCTATATCCCCAAAACCCATATGCACCTTATTTTTTTATTTTTGTGTACAAGAAGTGGGATGTAGGCCAGAGGTGTGGGGGTGAGAGGACTCACCAGAGACAGAATAGGGAGCAGAACAGGTGGATCTACTGAAATCCACTGCTGAGGGGAGGAGGGGGCGAGACAGGAGAGGTCTGCTGTGCCATATGTGGGTCAGCTCCCTGGCTGGGTATTGAACTCAGGCTGCAGAGGTGATAGTGCTGAGACTTAATCCCTAGGCCACCAGGGAGGCACAGCCCTATTTATTTTGAATCTAAACTCTCCAATCCTCAAAAGCCTGTTGGGCTGGTCCAAGCTCCCAATCAAAGCCTACTTCAAAAGCCCCATCCCTGGCCTTTGCCCAGACCTACTGGGTTGGTGCCATTAGGAATGGGCCCGAGCAATCTGTATGCCTGTGAAGTTCTCTGAATGATGCTGTAACCAGCATCCTTTGGGAAACACAGTCTCATTTACATTATAGATCTACTTTCCGGCAAACTCTATTAATATCCAACCTCTATTAGAAAGTTTAGCTAGTCTTCCTGCTGTAAAGGCTTTAGAAAATAATATTGCTTGTTGGTGGAACAAGCATTTTGGGTAAGACTGGAAGCTTCATCTCAAAATTAGGACACCAAAGGCTAAGAGAATCCTTTATGCACTCTCTTTCCAAGGCACCGAAGATAATTCTTCATTGTAATCTCGTACTGATATTTTTAAATAGGCTTTCCAAACTGTGTAAGCTTTGTGCATTACAAAACCTGAGCCAACCCGCCTGTAAATGACAGCCTATATGGCAACACCATGAAAAATAGCCCCAAATTAAAAATTTTAATAGCTTCATTTTTTTGAAAACACTGGGTTCTCCAAATCATTTATTTATTTTTTAATGTTTATTTTTTTTAAGTGGATGCCTTGCACTCAAGCAATTTATTTTTGACAGGGATTCTGATAGTCAGTTCAAGACAGTATAACTGCTGTGATGGCCTGGGCCAAGAGCTGATAGCAAGAACAGATGGTCCAGGCAAAAGCCCACCCTAAGGGATCTGATGACGCGCGCGCGTGTGTGTGTGATCGCTGTTTTAGAAGTCCGGGAGGGTAGCGTGATGCAGATTAAGTGGGGACTCAGAAACATACTATGTGACCTGAACTCAAATTGATTGATTTACCCTGTGAATTTAATAGATGGGCCTCATTCATTTTGAATAGGAAAGAAATTTGCTGCATCTTCCCTATTCATGAGCTCATTCTCCAATTTAGGAAGGTCGCCTCATGCTCACAGCAAAAAACAGCCGGCGAGTTGGGAAGCAAAGGTTTTAACAGGACTCAGATGTTCACGTTTTCTGTGTTCAGGTTATTTTTATTCCCTCAGCACAGACGGTAGTGTAAGCACAGATTTCTTCAGCATTTTTATTATAGCAGGTGTGGGCTCCTCGACCATTGTCCTTAAAACACACACACATTGCTGGCGGCATTTGAACAGCTTGGGTACTAATGCTTTCTTTTATTTGTGATCATTCAGCTGTCTGTATCTTGTTATAAAGAAAGAAAGCTATGAAATCTAAGTCTAGGAAGCCTTTTGCAGATGAGAGTGACTGAGATTTCCTGAACGAGTATTATAATAAATTGTACTGGAGCTGTTTCAAAAGCAGGACATACCTGAACATGAAATCATCTGGGCATCTGCAAGTGAATGACTTGAGGCAGATGTGAATTCTGGCACAGAAGTAGGTTCTAATCAAATGGAAAGTGGCTTGAACACCTAAAGGTACTTGATCTGACTTGAGTTCTAAATACCACTGTTTTTATTTTATTTTTGCATAAAAGAATTGGGGTGTAGGCCAGAGGTGCAGGGAGTGGGAGGATTCACCAGAGACAGAGTGGGGAACAGAAAAGGCAGACTGACTGAAATCCACTGCTGAGGGGAGCAGCGGGTGAGACAGGAGAGGTCTGCTCAGTCATGTGGGCAGCAGCTCCCTGGCCAGGGATCGAACTCAGGTCATAGCGGTGACAGTGCTGAGACTCAACCCCTAACACATCAGGGAGGCCCAAGATGCCATTGTTTTTATCTGAACAGTAAATGAAGAACAATAGCACAAAGAAGATTAATGCTGAAAGACTATGCCGATCTGCTTGTTGTAAGAGAAATTGACCCTACGAACAAAACTAAGATGGACTGGTGTGGGGAGAATGGTGGAGAGACGAGAGCTAAGTAACCATTCCAATGATGTGTCCTCATCCTCAGAAATTCTGGATGAGAATGTTAGGCCTGGCACCAGCAGTGCCTGCCCAGTGGGCACTGGACTTTAAGGGGGTGCTACCAGACTATCAGCAATGGAATGTGAGTGGACGGAACATGATCGAGGTGGCTGCGTTTGTAATTATTGTAAACACTTTTAATCATTTTCCCCATTCTTTTTCTTCCTATCTGCCTGCTGGAGCTTGATGTTGAATTGTTAAAACCACCTGTTGTCTAAGTTTCAGATGGCCTGGAGCCGCCCCCCCCACCCCCTCTGCCCCATGATGTGGAACCACCTTGCTCTGCTAAGTGAGTGAAGACTAAACTTCTGTTGATGCACACTGCTAACATTCCTATTCACTTTTTTATAGCACTCAACATTAACTAACAGGCAAGATGTGGTCAGAGACAGAACATACCTGTTATGTGAATACGATATTCTTCTTTGAAGATTTTCTTTAAGAAAGGGATCTTGAACTGCATGTGTGGAGTGTGGAGCCCGGGGAGATTAACATCGACATCCCCCATGAAATGTGGGAATTCCCAGTCCTGTCGGAGAACATCAACAGAAAGGCTTATTTGTTATTTGTTTCATTCCTTAACAGCAAAACAAGAAAAATGGAATTTTCATAAGCACTTATTTCCAAATCATTTAAATGCAGCCAGCTGCTGGAGGTATCTGTTTCATCGGGTGATGGTTATTGTATGTATGCTAGGTAGTGGTATGCATTCAAAAGGCACAACTTACATCCTCAGATTTTCTCTTAAAGGTGGCAATAAGACACCAAAACAGAACTGATTTGCGTCTGCACAGGTTGATCACTTTCATGTTGAAGAACTGTTCTTCATTTTTTACAGGAAGGAGGTGATCCATATTTTAAAAGTATGAGGTCATTTCATATGTTGTTTTACTACTTTTGAAAAACATGAGCCCTATAATAGCATGTCTTGTACAAGTAGACAAAGAAGATCTGATTGACGTACCCAGTCCCTATTGAGGGACTTGTATGAATCATCTCTGCTCATCACTACATGGAAAGTAAAAATATCAAAGACTCTTGTTGCACTTTCTTGCAATTGTATCAATTTGGACTAAGCAATGGAAGGCCTGGTATGCTACCTGACTCTTAAATGGTGAATTAACTCCCAGTTGTCATCAGTCATTTCTTTGTTGTCAAGGTAAATCAGGTGGGGAGACCCTTGCTCTCATAAGGAAGGGAAACTGATGTAAATGGATTTTTTCAGGGTCTCATTTGTTCTTAGTTTTTGGGTAGAGGCACCAAATGAAACTTTGTAACAAGCGTGTGAAGAACGAATACAGCAATCATGACTAGATAGGTATTGAGGTGAAGTCATAGGTATTGATGCGCATATTTTTACTTTTAATAACAAAATAATCACCAAATTATGAGTCCTATATTTAGTTGATATTTTCAAAAGAATTTAAATATGAAAAAGTATGAACAATTAAAGATTTCAATCTAGGGGCCTCCCTGCTGGCCTAGGGGTTGAGTCTCAGTGCTGTCACCACTAAGGCCTGAGTTTGATCCCTAGCCAGAAAGCAGACCTACATGACACAGCAAACCTCTCCTGTCTTCTTGCCCTTTGCTCCCCTTAGCAAAGGATTTCAGTAGATCCACCTATTCTGCTCCCCACTCTGTCTCTGGGGAATACTCTCACCCCCACCATTCCCATACTTCTGGCCTATACTCCAGTTCTATGAAAAAAAATTTTTTTCAATGCATTTTTCTCAATAATAAAATGTTAAAATTCTCCAAGGCTTTTCTCTGTGTAAGCTAATACAAGTGTGCTAATGACAGAGGACTTAGCATTTTAAGAACTTCTGTTTCCATTCCATGCCTCTCATTGCTGAGAATTCTGGTTAAAGGATAACAGAACTCAGAGGAAAGGAAAGTGGTAACCAGGGAAGATTCCAATGTCTACTAATAGTTTGATCTATGGGTTGCTTTAAACTTCTAATGATAAATAAATAAACAAAAAGAAAAGCAAAGGGACACATCATTTCTTTCTATTGGTGTGTAGGAAAATATCTTTTTTGGCCTCATCTTTCCTTGTTTTTCAGACAGCTGCAAATTGATAGGCATTTTTAGGAAATCCAGAGCATTTGAACTGAGCATATCTGGGATATTTTGCTCTACAATATTAGTAGAAAGTAAGTTGTGAATTAATGTATTGTATGTGCGAGTTATTGTATTTTATTAAAGTACATTTGCCCCATTTTTTTCACCAATAAATCTTGTTCTTTCAGTGTTACTTGGGAGACTCTTAAAAGATAACTGAAATTGAATTTGGTCTTTTGCTGAAATATAACTGATACCACCTATGAAAAATTATGTGTCACAAATAGAGAGACTGATAACCAGAGTATCTTTCACTTGTTCTAGATAAACAGCATAAGACATTATCAATAGAGTTCTTCTTTTTTATTAAATGGTTTAAGGAGGAGACTACTTCTTGCTAGTAATTATGCACGTACTTATGTAATTATGTACGTACTTATGTACATAATTATGTATGTAATTATGTACGTACTTACGTAATTATGTCTGTACTTATTTAGCTTTTCAGTCCGTGAAAATAAAGTTTTCTACTAGGTATGATTGGTTTCAGTTTAAAAGGAATCTTAGAGATTTCTTATAGACTGTGACTAATATTTCCTTCACTAAAAAATAGTTTCTCAATTATTTCCCACCAGCAGTTGGAGACAGAAAGATGAATTAAGGAAATGGAGAAGAAAAGAGGAGAAAGTATTGCTCTTTATCTGAAAGATGGCCTTTGTTTGCAATTTCCCCTTACCCTGCTCTTTTTTTTTTTAAAGAAAGGATTAGGGCAGGGAGTTTGGGGGAAAGTTTGAGAGAAGTAAAAGAGATTATTAAAAAGAAAGGATACATAAATACTGCTAGATTCACCCCCTGCACATTATTTTTATAATTTAAACATCAACCAGTAGGGAGCATGGCTGGAATGCCAGCCCAGGTTCTAGAGAGCAGTCAAAAGTCCCCAAAGCCAAAAAGGCCAAAGGCTATGGCTTAAACTATAGCTGTAGGGATATAGCAATGCAATACCTATAAAATATGTCAAGAACAGTGCCCAATAAGAGGGCAGGTCTGTGGTGGCACAGGTGGTTGAGTGCCACACTGTGAGGCTGTTTGCAGCCTCTGCAGCATGGGTTCGATCCTGGCCAGCCAGCGAGAATCCCACATGGTGAGGCAGACCTCTCCTGTCTCACCTGCTGCTCCCCTCAGCAGTGTGTTTCACCAGTCTACCTGTTCTGATCCCCACTCTGTCTCTGGTGAATCCTCTAAACTGCCCATATATCTGGCCTGTACGCCAGCTCTTACATAAATAAAATAAATCTTTAAAAAAAAAAAGAGGACAGGTCTGTGGTTCTCATCTACTTGAACAATTGCAAGATGCCCCAGGTTCCAGGAAAAACCACCATGGGGTTTATTTTACAAACAGCAGAAACAAAGAGCTTACTGTAGCCACAAGTGGTCACTGTCTCATCCCAGATCCACCAGATGTCCAAGAAGAATGCCAATCACCTGTCAACAGAGTTGGACAGCACTGGCCAGTAGTGATGGTCACTACTGGTCCCCCAGAGGTGGTGTTGGAGACACCAGGTGTTAACAGCTCTTTGTGAGTTGTTGGAAAATACCAACAACAAACAGCTCTTTGAGACACTAGGTCTGTGGTCTTTGGTGCTCCTTCTAGGTGATGGAGAGACAGGACCAGAGGTCTTGTGTGTGACAGAGATCTTCGGCTTCTCTTCCTTCCTTAGAGGTCAGCTGCTGGCTGCTTCTTTTCTTCTTTTGAGGTCAGTTGCTGGCCCTTCCTCTTTCTTCTGAGGCCAGGTATTTGTAGGTACCCCATCTGCAAGTCTGATTGGACTGTTTTTTCAATCCTATGGCTGATTGGATCATTTAGCACTGATCAGCTCATAGCTTGCACCTGATTGGTCCATTCTATGATCCCAGATGTATGTATAAAAAGGAGATTGCCAGGCTCTGAGGAGCCATAGCCAGAGTCAGCCTGTGGTGGAGCAGGAGAATGACAGAACAATTTCAGACTGGATCATTGTTTGCATGGAGTTGGCACAGAGTTCTTCCACTGTCTTTGTGTGTTTTCTCCAATTTCCTCTCATCCCAACATGTGCACATTAGGTACACCCGCATGTCTGAATTATCCTTGTGTATGTGTTGGTATGAAAGAGAGACACAGACACACACACACACACACACACACACACAAACAAAGATAAGCGAAAGCCAGCTCAACAATGGAATAGAGGGAAGGGCATCTTGTCTGGACCTGACTCCTGTTTGGAGACTGAGATGCTGGGATAAGTTCTGGTCACCAGAGACTCTGAACTGGAATATTTCCAACTGAACGTTGGAAAATAAATGGATATAAAATTACTGCTTAATAGTAGAAATGTTTTGAGCTGTTATTCAAAGTCCAATTATGTTTTATGACCATATACCCTAGGGACTAAACTCTTATGTCCATCAAGCAGCCTATGGTTTCATTATACATTATTTCACAGTCATAGTTTCCAAAATCTATTGATATAGTTGTACTTCCATTCCTATTCTGCCTAGTTCTCCCTACTCATCACTGAATCAGTGTAAATTCTGGTCTTACTTGGGCCTCTCTGGTGGCCTAGGGGTTAAGTCTCACCATGGCCTGAGTTCAATGCCCGGCCAGGTAGCTGACCCACATGGCGCAGCAGACCTCTCCTGTCTCACCCAGTGCTCCCCTCAGCAGTGTATTTCAGTCAATCTGCATGTTCTGTTCCCCACTCTGTCTCTGGTGAATCCTCTCATGCCCCACACCTCTGGCCTACATCCCAGTTTCTTGTATGCATACATAAATAAAAATTAATCCTAAAAAAAAGAAATCTGGCTTTATTTCACCTAGTGTGAAATAGTAATAATAATAATTGCTACCATTTGCAGCATGTTTGGGGCTCATTTTAGTGACAAATGGGTATCTGGCACTGATGATCACCCAGGTATTTATCTAAAGGAGAGTTAGAAAAAGGCAGGAGGATGGTTTTCTGAATCTCTCTAGGCTCCAGTCTCTTCCTCTATAAACTTGGGTTAAATATATCTACCTCACCGACTTCCTGTGAGGATGAGATAGTGCATGTACAGCAATTAGCACATTACTGGAGAGAGAGGGGACACAAGGAAATGGCCAATAAGCATGGTTGACTTCCCAGCATAATTCCAAGGTCAGGTTTACCCTGAGAGTGAAGCAGAGGAAGCTGGTAAGTCTGTTCTTCTGAGCATCACTAGGAAGGCTGTTTTGAGGTTCAGGTGAGAAGGAAAAGGCTTCTTCTCCTTTATACACAGCACTGGGCTTCTGAGGGCACTGGCTGGGGCTCTGGTCAGAGCAGAGCTCTCTCAGAGGGCAGCGGGAGCAGGGCTGCAAGGAGGGGTGACTCTCTCAGCGAGGCATGTGAGGTGGCCTTGTGAGGAGACGAAAGAACAGGAACAAATTGCTTTTTGTGCAGTTTGGGTCAC